TGTTCAACGTGCAATTTTCAAACGCCTAGCACTTCATAGATTGTAGTTAATTTAAATTTGGATTGTTTCTTTTTAAGGTGGTCCTCTCAAGAAAGGTCCACTGATCCACCAAGCAATTACGAGCTAAAAACTTTTCACTCAGAAACAGTTATTTTACTGATATGTTGCGAATAAGAATTTAATATTACTTTTTTTAGGTGAAGCAAGATTAGGCCAGCTTTGTTTGGTCCTCTCATGTGTACTTGGTTGAGAATTTGGTTCAGTAAGGGTTACGGTACTTGGGCTTTTACCCAGTTGAGCTTTTAGCATTCAGGTGGATAGGCATCTTACAAAAACAAAAAAAAAGGTAAAAAATGGAGGGAGAGAGATTAGATATGTTTACAAAGAGAATGGAAGGATAATAACTAAAAGGGAAATGTATCTATTATGTAACAATTCAAAGGCGGACCCAAGGGAGGGGCTAGGGTTGGCCACCGCCCCTCTCTGGTTTTTAGATTTTTTATTTAATATATATATATATATATATATATATATATATATATATATATATATAATTTTCATCATCTTCATCAGCTCTACTGCCCCTGTCCTCCGTCGTCCCAATTCCTCAACTTTAAGCCTTTAACTGATTGTAGACTGGAAGTACATCCGTGAAGCACGATCTGCACTGGCAGTTGTTGGAAAATTGTACTAAAATCTTATGTTGGGCTATAAAATTGTAATGGGCTTCTTATTGTGGGCTGTTTCTTTTATAGAATTAATTATTAGTCCACTACTCCTTGGTTTTAATCTACCTTTATTTAAAATTTCAGAACAACAATCTTTGTATTTTTTTATTCACTCTTTTTATGTGTACCAATTCTGCTCTCTCTTTTTTTTTTAAAAAAGCGAAACCTACTCTTTAATCTTCACCGCTAGATCCTACGTTAGTGGTGCATCCGCTGCAGGGCATTGTGCACATCGTCTTCTTCTTGACTTGTAAGGCAGTTTTTTTTTTTTTTTTCTCTTTCTCTAACATGAATTTCTTAAATTTGAATTTGATAATAGCGATTTCAACAGGGCATTAGTAGACAAAAATTCCTTTTCTCGTTGCTGTGTTCAATCTTTTATGTAGTGGGCTACTGGCAAGCCGGCAACTAGTGGTAAGGTTAAAAAAAAAATTATCCAAATTTTTTATTATTTAATTTATATCTCTTTGTTACTATGTTTTTATAATTTATGCTTTGTTTTAAAAAAAAATATTTGAAGAGATGAATTTTAGGAAAATTTATCATTCTATTATAGTTCAAATTATGTATATGTGCACTTCCCACAAATTGTAAGGCTTTAGAAAAATATAGATTTCAATACCTACAACTAATTTAAACGTTTTAAATATTAAAATAATATAGGTGATTATTATGGGGAAGAGATAGAATAATTTATGCTATTTGTAGGTGATTATTATGGGGAAGAATGCTACAATTGATACTTAATTTAAGAGAAAGAATGTTGAGTTTTCGTCCTCATCTACTCCTAATGCTGGATTATCAAATATTGAGACTCCTCCTTCAAAGTCTCCGAGAATTGAAAATAAAAGAGGTAGTTAAAGAAGTTGATCTTGCTTTGTTGAAAGAGATCCTGCACTACGTCTTCCAATATGGAAATATCATATCAATCAACAAGATAAAATTCGTCGTGCTTATCTTAAACGTGGTCCATATCAATGCAAGCTTCAAAATTATCCTTTTTCTGGGCCAGAGAAGAATCAACGTCGTTTTTGCTCATCTGGGTTTGATTTGTTTCCATCTTGGCTAGAGTATTCTCCAACAAAAGATGCTGCATTTTGTTTGCCTTGTAATTTATTTAATAAACCAAGTGGCAATGGACGTTTTGACTTAGTACATTTATTGTTGAGGGTTTCAAAAATTGGAAAAAGGTCAATGATGGAGAAAATTGTGCCTTTTTACGTCATGTTGGAAAAAATGTTATCTCGGTGCATAAAAATGCTATGAGATCATGTAGTGATCCTATGAACCAATCTCTCATATTGAGACATTGGTTGAAAGGCTTACTTTTGAACAAATTGGAGCTAATCGTTTAAGGACCAAATAACATGATGAAAGCTTCTTTTTCTACACAAACAAACAGACGTGGGGTCCACAATTTTTTATTTTCTCTTTTCTCAACTCATTTTCTCTCTCTTCTTTTATGTTTGTGTAGGACCAAATAGTGTTTTTCATGTAACATTATACATGTATAACTATTAGCACTAAATTATATATATATTTATTGTATTATTTTATGTTATTTAAATCTCTTTGGGCTGTGAATAATTGATGTCGTAGGTAAATGGGCCTAAAAGGAATTAAAATGGCCCAAGTAAAAAAAAGAAGGTAAAAAAAGAAGAGAAGTAATTGGCTTGTTTTCTTACATATTTTATTTTATTTTTACTTTCAGCTCGGGTAAAAGAATACAGAAGGCACGTGGATCAAATTGAGGGAACAATTCAGAACCATTAGATAGGTCAGAAGATGGACGGCTAAAAAAAGAAAGGAGATTTATGTTTTAGTTAATTTTTGTGGGTTGTAAAACATATATCAGATATTTAGATCCAGATTTTCAATGTTCGTTACTGTTTTGTTTTTAGAAGACTCTGAGTGTTGAGAGATTGTTGTTGAAAGTTGAATGTGCCTTTCTTTTCTTCTTGAACTCGAAGTGCAGTGACGAAGCATCTTCGCCGAAAGGAAGAATCAAGGGTGAATGCAAGTGAAGGTTAAAGATCCTAGCTCTAGTTTAGGAAACGATACTTTGGTTTGTACGATTTACTCTGATTTTAATTCTGAATGCATGTTTTCTTTTTCTTTAATATCTAATTCGTTGTTTCTGAAAATGGGTTTCTAATTCTTTTCTTTTTCTGGGTTTGTCAAAATGATTGGGTGAAATTTTTGATGTGCATTGTTATTGTTTCTGTTATCTCATTCGTTTGATACTTTCATCTTTTTAACTCAAGAAATCCATGGGAATGGGACTTGAGTATTTCAACAAAAAGAAATTGGAAAATAGATTTTTGTTAAGTGTTAAATGAACCATTTTGATTAGGAATAATCGAAGGTGTTTTCTGATATAAATTTCTATAAATATTCAAGAAGCTTTGGGAAAAGTTCTTCTTGAACCTTATTGTTGAATTTGGAAAGCTTCAGCTAAACTTGTCGTAGTAACTCAGAAACTGAGATAAAGATGCTATAGCAATGTACGATTTTGCAGGAATGCAAATATTTTCTGTTACCCATGATTTAAGATATACTTAGAAGCCTTAATCTTGATACATCATTTCTTTACTTTTAGCTCAGTTTTTAATAATTGATAAATACTATAAAAGAATTAATTGAGTTTCAATTCAAGAATCCTTAATTCAGAAAAATAAAAAGAAAAATAATTCAACCTGTTCCCTGAGAACGATAACTCTTTCTTGTGAAAATTACTACCAACAAAATGGCGTCATTGTCGGGGAACGGTGTTTGATTTTATTTTCTTTTTGTGATTCTGTTTTAGAATTCTTAAATTTTTTTCTTTTCTTTTCTTTTTCTTTTTCACATATTTTTCTTGTTATCTGCTAACTCCAATTTCAAGTTCTTGATAGATTCTTGCAGAATTCAATTCTGATTACAGTAACCAGTAACCAGCAACCAGCAGTATTACACACATTTGTTGCTGAATTCTTGAAGATGGCAGAATCTAACAATGAATCTGTTAATGGAGAAAACAACAATGGCAATGGGAATGGCAACCATGCTCTAGTTATGGTGGATGAAGAGCTTCCCATTGCTGAATATGCTATTCCATCACTTGATGGAGTGATTCCTGGCATAGTCCAGCCAGGAGTGGAAGGGAATTTTGATCTCAAACCAGGAATGATACAGCTGCTGCAATCCACGACTCAATATCATGGGTTACCCAAGGAAGACCCCCACAAGCACATCACAAAATTCATGAAAATCTCCGATACTTTTGTTGTTCATGGAGTATCCACAGACGCTATGAGGATGAGGCTATTTCCTTTTTCTCTAGCTGGGGCAGCAGAAGAGTGGATCGAAGATTTTCCTACACAGTCGATCACCACGTGGAAAGAGCTTGGGGAAGCCTTCCTTATGCGATTTTTCCCACCCACAAAGGTGTGTGATTTGAGGGATGACATCACAGGGTTTAGACAGTATGTTGATGAGTCAATCCATGAGAGCTGGATTAGGTTCAAGGGGTTGATAAAAAGGTGTCCTACACATGGTCTTCCTAAGTGGGCCACCATTCAAATTTTCTATAGAGGATTGAGTCACCAAGGCAAAACTCATTTGGATGCTACTGCCAATGGAATGTTTTTGTTGCAAAGGTATCCAGAGGCTTTTGAGACATTTGAGAGATTAAGCCAAAACAGTTGCCAATGGCCTGAATAGAGAGATGAAGCTCCAAAGAAGGCAACTGGACTTTATGAGGTGAGTGAAATCACTTCCATGGCAGCTGAGATGGCAGCACTGCATAACACTGTCAAGGTTTTAGTTAAGCAAATGGCTGAAACCAAACAGCAACCACCTGCCCAAGTAGCTGCAGCCACACAAATCTGCTCACTTTGCTATGGTGCCCATCTGTTTGAAGAGTGCCCAAGCAACCCCTCTTCAGCCTTCTATATTGGTGACTACAACAGAAACTACAATAATAGAGGGAATTATAACCAAGGCAGATGGCAGCAACAAGGTGGAAATTTTGGCCAGAATCAGGGCCAAAATTACCATCAAAATGTTGGAAATAGAAATCAGAATCAGTCCTTCCAAGGAAGGCAGCAACCTTATCAGCCAAAAGTTCCTTTTCCACCTGGTTTTAACTCACAAAATCCTCAAGATCAACAAAGGCAATCTAATGCAGAAACTCAGCCTCTTCTAAATAACTAGTGGTCAAATCGAATGTTGCGAAATCATGAGACCATGCTTCAAAGTCATTGAGCAATTTTAAAGAGCTTAGAGACACAAATGGGGCAGATTGCATCTTCCCTTAGCAATAGACCAGTGGGGACTCTTCCTAGTGATACTGAAGCACCAAGGAGAGATGGGAAGGAGTTTTGTAAAGCTCTCCATTTGAGAAATAGAAGAGAGGTTGAACAACCAGAGCATGTTATTAGACCTTCTACCTTGAGGAAGTTGGCAGAAAAAAATGTGCAACCAATTGAAGAGGAAGAGCCTACTGTAATTGAAGTGCAAGATTCAGAAAACATCAAAGAGCAAGGTGATTCTAGCAAAACAGAAAAATCAGCACCTAAATCAAAGGAGTCAGCCAAATCTATGCAGAAAAATGAAGGCATTCAACCAATATCAAGGGCAAGGCAAGTTCCATTTCCACAAAGGCTCCAAAAACAAAATCAGAAGCAGCACTTCAAGGGGTTCTTAGACATCCTCAAGCAACTCCAGATCAACATTCCATTTGTGGAGGCCCTTCAACACATGCCAAGCTACATCAAATTCATGAAGGACATCCTATCAAGGAAGAGGAGAATAGAGGAGTTTGAGACACTGGCACTTACCAAAGAATGCAGCAACATCGTCTCTACAAAAGTACCTCCTAAAATGGAGGATCCAGGTTCTTTTACTATTTCATATGTTCTTGGAGATAGGTATATTGATAGAGCTTTATGTGATTTAGGCTCTAGCATTAATTTGATGCCTGCTTCTATTTTTAAGCAACTAGGAATAAAATCTTCCCCCACCATATTAACTCTCCAACTAGCTGATAGCTCTATTGTATACCCTGAAGGAAAAGTGGAAAATATTTTGGTAAAGGTGGACAAATTTATTTTTCCAGCTGACTTCATAATCCTTGATTGTGAAATGGATGAAAACATTCCTATTATAGTAGGAAGACCATTTTTAGCTCCAGGGGGTGCAATGATAGATGTTAAAAAAGGGGAGTTAACAATGAGGATAAATCATGACACTATGACCTTTAGTGTTTTTAAAGCCATGAAATATGTGGATGATGATGTTGATGATTGTTCTGCTATAACTGTCATTGATCACTTGGTTGCTACCCATGTTCAAGAAAAATTTTAATTAATGAATCTGCATGTGAATCTACCATTTTAGAAATTAATGAGAATACTGCATCTGATCATGATCATGCATGTGCATTAACATCTTATCCTACTAAGTTCTTTGGTGATAAACATTTTGAGTCCCTTGGACTTAATGAAAGAATCGTTAAACCTCTTAAACCATCCATTATGGAACCACTTGAAGTGGAGTTGAAAGAACTCCCAACCCACCTTAAACATGCTTTTCTAGGAACAGATAGCACCCTCCCAATAATTGTTGCATCTGCCCTCAAAAGCAATGAGGAAAATCAGCAGCTAAATGTGCTTAAAAATCATAAGAGAGCCATTGGTTGGACCATGACTAATATTAGAGGCATTAGTCATTCTTTCTGTATGCACAGGATAAGGCTAATTGCTGAAAATAACAATTCTATTGAGCCTCAAAGAAAGCTCAATCTAACCATAAAAGAAGTGGTCAAAAAAAAATAATCAAATGGTTGGATACAGGACAAATTGTTCTAAATTTGAAGATAAGAATCAAATTATTTCCAATCAAGTTTAGATGGATGAACCATTACTGGAGTACACATGTGAATAAAGAGAAGATTTTCATTTCTTTATTAGATGTTGGATGAAACACAAACACAAAAAGTGTAGTTGATTAGTTAGTTAGTGTACTTGTGGCTGTTGTAGCTTAGGTTAGTTTAGTGTGTGTAACTGTTGATATGTTTAGTTTTAAATTTTTGAGTAGTTTTCAACTTGTTGTAGTATAGATGCTACGTAGGAATCCTATTAATTTTTTTTACTATCATATGTTAGTGCTGTCTTCTTAAAATCAATGGAAAATTTGTTCTATGAAATAAAAAGAAAGAGTTGATTGAGGAGTTAAAGTGGATCTGTTGTGCTGAGTGAGCATTATGAGAGAGTGCAAATCACTAAGTTTGGAGTAAGTGTGAGCTACCTATGCTAAGCACAATTCAATTTCTTGGCCCATTAAGTTGCACGTACCTTGATAAAAAAAATTGTGTGCACTAAGTGTTTACTTTTGCAAAAGGAGTATAAAAAGAGAGGGGAGTGTCTTGGATCCAAGTTTTTCATGGCTCTGTTTGGTCCATTTTAATTCTATGACCCAATGTTGTAAATTTAGAGATATATTGAATTGGGTAGAAATTAAAATGTCGAAAGTGTTATAAAAAAAATTTAACCCAAGAAAATAAGGTTAGGAGATTGTGTCGTTGGCTTTTCCAAATTAGATTGGGCCCAATAAAAATCAATTAAAAATCAAATTTGCATAAGGCTAAATGGGTCATATGTTTGTTTATTATTTTTAGTTATAGGCCTAGTTGTTTCTAGCCTATTTTATACTTTAACCCCCTGATTTTTATTTATTTTATTTATTTTTTCTGACAACGCTCAGATTCATCTTTTCTAATCCTCTATTTCCTCTTTGTTTCAATTCATTTTGCCACTTCAGCGTCACCTAATTGGCACAAATACAAACATGGTAATTCATAGTGAAGTAACAACTCTTACATAGTTGTTTCAGACGGTGGTCTGCACCCAATAAATGCTTTTAAGCTGCTCTCTAGTACACTACTATTAGGGAAAGCACCGTTTGATGTGACCACTCTCTGCTCTAATCTCATTTCAATTACACCCAAGGAAAGTGACATTTCTTTTCTTCTCTCTCCATAATCACCAGATATTTTTTTCTCTACTTTACCAAACCCTCGTCACCACCCATATCTCTCTTTCTTCAAGTTCAGCCGAGAATACCCATTATTTTTTAGTAGCTCTTCACTGCCTTGCTTGTTGTCGATTTAGCTGCATAGGGTTTGGATTTTGAGTTGGATTCCATTTTCGTTCAAGCTCAAGCGAGAACTTTTGGGTTTCATTACATACTGGTCTCGGTTTGTTTCTCTCAAATTCTCCTCACCACTGTGCGAACTCAGGTATGTTCAAATTAAAAACAAAAACTTAACTCGATTTTGCTTCTAATTTTATTATTTTGACCCTGTTACCATTATTCCCTTTTGTTAAACAAGCCCTCATTATGATCGTTTGAGCTCTAAATTTTTATTTATTTATTTATTTTTATTTTTTGATTCAAACGTAATTTTTTAGTTAATTTTTTTCTTTTCTGAATTGTAATAATTTTTTATTGTTTGGGTTTGATTTCATGTGAGGAATTTTAATTTTAATTTTTATATTTTTATTTTTATTTATTTTCTTTTCTTTTCCTTTCACTTAAACCACTTTTGCATTTTTTCTTTGAGCTATATCGTATTTTTCTTTTCCTTGTGCTGTATACTCTCAACTTTATCTTAGCTTTACCTGACATGTTGTGAGAAATAAAAACAACAATATTGCCAAGAAATGTAGGTACTCCCTCATTTTGCAATTTTGCATGTGCCTGTGAAATGTTTCATCTCAAACTATATATTTTTTAGCTTACATGAGTGGTATGTCTAATTTTTTGAATATGATATTTTTGTTAAATTACTGTCATTTATAGGTGTTTGTTCCTCGGTTGATGATTATAAAAATTCTAAGTTGTAAATTGCTTCTTATATTCTGTAATTTTTTATACTAAAATTTGTGGAAAATAATTTATTTGCTTTATTTTATTTATTTTATTGCTGATTCCTTTTGATATTTCTGAGTTGCCTTTATTTATTAACAGACCCATTTTCTTTTGATTTGCTCACTGATTCATATTTCAGTACAACATGCAGCTCAATCTCTTGTTGGTACCCAGGTTCTTAATTTTATTTTTTTATTTTTTTCAATTTATTTTTTTTATATATATTTATGTTCTGCTGTGAGGACCCAGCTTGATTTTAAGTTTGGGGTGATTATATGTTGTTACCAACAATTTGCTGATTATTTGCTGATTGAGCTTAAAAATGATAAAAATTTAAAGATTTTGAATGCTTGATTAGCTGAGTGGTAACCTGGAAATAATTTATAACCTGATGTGTTTAACATTATCACTACTTAAGTATAATCAGATTTGATTAAATTAATTCCTAATCAATTAGGGATCTAACTTAGTTGATCAGTATTTATATAAGCTTAAAATCAATTTACATGCCATAAAAAAATTTTGTGATCCCTAATTTGCTGATTCACTGATAAACCACTGGATTAACAACCCATGTGAGGTATTTGAACCTAAACACTTTATTCCTTTATGAGTGGTTATTGTGTATTGGTGTTTTGAATACTGCACTCTGTTTGGATGACTAATATGCTATTTCTGTGTGATTAGGGCATTATTTCTGAATGTGTAGCCTAGAGCCAAAAGTCTCACACTTTAATTATATCCCTTGGTCCCCATATTTGAGCTTGAAACCTTTCTTTTCTGATCATGTACCCTGAAATTATAAGCCAAATTCCATGTCCACCCTATATGGCTAGCTTAGTGTTTGGCTAATTCTCATTAGCTCAGAAATACAGTAAGCTAAATAAGGCAAAGGGAAGTCAGTTGTTTAAAAAAAAATGAAAGAAAAAAGAAAAGAAAAGAGGATCAGGAGGTAAAAAAAAAAGGAACAAGTGATGTTATAAAGAAGAGTTCTCTCTTTAAAAAAAAAAAAAAAAAGATCTCTCAGCTTGCTGAAGTAAAAGAAAAGAGGCAAAAGTAAAAATTGTGAAGGTGATCAATAAAAAAAGAGAAGGGAGTTGTACAAAAGGGAGGAGAGAGTCAGTAGTTCCGTTTGTCTTGTTTAGGCAAAAATCAGAAAAAAGTAATGAAGATTAATTAGACACTAAGGGTTAGCTTAATTAGCCAAGTGAGCAGAAAAACAAAGATCCTAGCCCTGCCTCATTACAAGCCTTAAACACCCTTTGATGGAGGTAGCATATTGGACTTCAAGTTTCTAAATGATGGTGTAGGTTGGAAGCATTCATGCATGAGGATAATGAGTGAACTTCCTTATAAAAAAAAGAGTGTAAGTGATTGAATATGTCTGGAAAGGAATTCAGTGGAATGTCAATTGAATCAGTTTAAGTTAAGGGTTGCAACTGTTTGAATGTGCATGAATTTTTGATTGAATGCTTCTATGATTGTTGATTGACTGGAGTTGGATGATTAATTTGATGTAGGAATTGGTTAACATTAAGCCTGAGCTAACAGACTATTTTCTGAGTGAATGTTTGTCTGATTGCTTGAGGGCAAGCAATTGCTTAAGTTTCGGGTATTTTGTTACCACTAAATTATATATATATTTATTGTATTATTTTATGTTATTTAAATCTCTTTGGGCTATGAATAATTGATGTTTCAGGTAAATAGGCCTAAAAGGAATTGAAATGGCCCAAGTAAAAAAAAGAAGGTAAAAAAGAAGAGAAGTAATTGGCTTGTTTTCTTACACGTTTTATTTTATTTTTACTTTCAGCTTAGGTAAAAGAATACAGAAGGCACGTGGATCAAATTGAGGGAACAATTCAGAACCATTGGACAGGTCAGGAGATGGACGGCTACAAAAAGAAAGGAGATTTCTGCTTTTGTTAATTTTTGTGGGTTGTAAAACATAGATCATATTTTAAGATCCAGATTTTCAATGTTCGTTACTGTTTTGTTTTTAGAAGACTCTGAGTGTTGAGAGATTGTTGTTGAAAGTTGAATGTGCCTTTCTTTTCTTCTTGAACTCGAAGTGCAGTGACGAAGCATCTTCGCCGGAAAAAAGAATCAAGGGTGCATGCAAGTGAAGGTTAAAGATCCTAGCTCTAGTTTAGGAAACGATACTTTGGTTTGTACGATTTACTCTGATTTTAATTCTGAATGCATGTTTTCTTTTTCTTTAATATCTGATTTGTTGTTTCTGAAAATGGGTTTCTAATTCTTTTCTTTTTCTGGGTTTGTCAAAATAATTGGGTGAAATTTTTGATGTGCATTGTTATTGTTTCTGTTATCTAATTCGTTTGATACTTTCATCTTTTTAACTCAAGAAATTCATGGGAATGAGACTTGAGTATTTCAACAACAAAAAATTGGAAAATGAATTTTTGTTAAGTGTT